TGTATAACATATAAAATCGGGCCGCCCTCATGCCGTCTCTATCAAATTTCATTTGTCTCATCTAAGAATAGGCCGTCCAAAAGACGGGTAGACGGGTCTCTGGCTAACACACTGTGTCTTAGGTGCGTGTACAGGTGTGTTTGTGTTTTCAGTGTGAAGCACACGACTGCGGGCAAGTGCAGTCCGGATGCGGCCAACAGTCCAATGGCTATCCCACCGCTAGCTGACATGCCGGCAACTCTAGACATCACCTACTCATACACAGTCATGTTTGTTGTGAGTGTAGATCAGTAGCTATCGGGGGTTCACGTGCGAGCGTTAACTCAGAGATGCCAACCACTACGATTTATCCGTATTTTATACGAATTTCAATTCCTTTTGCACCACTACGACCAGTTTGTATCAAACTACGAATTTCACTGTGATCTAAAAAAAAAAAAATTTGTCAATTATTGTCAATTTATTGTCATTTTTGACCCCCAGAATGCAGGAAATTGCATCTCAGAATCAAAAATTTTTCCGGGGGGCATGCTGGACCCTCCTAGCAAACTCGGGTCACTACGTGACCCTCGAACTACTAATTTGATGGCCAGAAACTACAGATTCCTTCAAATATGTGTTGGCATCTCTGTTAATTACTGATTTAACGCTGTTTTAACTTATCTGGCATTGTGCAAAAGAGGATTATTTAGTGTTATGAGGTAGAATACATGTGTGCGGTGTTAGTTTTTTGTTTGTTAATAGGTATCAAGTTGTTTTATCATTTTCTGATAAGTGTTGTGTCACAAATGTTTGCATCGTTGGGTCGCAAATGTAGCGGTTCAACGATTGGCTTCACGTTTGACAACACCTCAGTGTGTGTGTTGCTGTCTGAGGGCCACTTTGGTGGGCTGTACTGTATAACTGTCACTGATGACGCAGTCAACCTCACTAACACCAAGTTGTTCCTACTACAGCCTAACAATCATTCGTAGCGAGAGCGCGTTCGAATCCAGAAACAACTTGTGCAGGAAAAACGAGTTTCACACCTCTCATTGTGAACCAGTTTTGATATAAAAAAATTATACGATTGCAAACAATCTCTAAGTCCCCAGCGAGAAAACCGTAACAAGTTTCCGCACGCAGAGGGTTAACCAGCTGCTTTGCCGCGGTGATCGTTATGCGGAGGTAAACGCCGTGTCGCGTGCTGCCACCTTGCAGGAGGACAAGACGACAAAGTGGTCTTCGCGCTGGGACTATATTCTCAACTCGATGCCGCATACGAACATCCAGTGGTTCAGTATCATGAACTCGCTCGTCATCGTGTTGTTCCTCTCCGGCATGGTGGCAATGATCATGCTGCGTACACTGCACAAGGACATCATACGCTACAACCAGATGGACTCTGTCGTAAGTATACGTAGTCGTAAGTATGTGTAGTTGTAAGTATACGTAGTCGTAAGTATGTGTGGTCGTGAGTATGTGTAGTCGTAAGTATGCCGACGAAGATGGACAGCAGCATCCCACGCGCGGGCGGCCGGAACACGTCGCCGTGCACGAGCTTCCAACCAAACTCCTCCTGCGCATCCTCCTGTGGACGTGACGATAGTCAGCATTAGCAGACGACAGTGAACATTAGCAGATGATAGTCAACATTAGCGGACGACAGTAAACATTAGCGGACGACAGTGAACATTAGCAGATGATAGTCAACATTAGCGGATGACAGTGAACATTAGCGGACGACAGTAAACATTAGCGGACAACAGTATATATTATAGTATTACAGTAAACATAAGCAGATGATAGTCAACACAGAGGGTCCACTTACGACTACATATTTACAACTTCATATTCTTACGACTACATATACTTTACGACTACATATAGTTATAGCTACATATGACTACATATACTTTACGACTACATACACTTACGATTACATATACTTACGACTACATATACTTACAACTACACGTACTCATGACTACATATACTTACAACTACATATACTTACAACTACACATACTTACGACTACACATACTTACAACTACACATACTCACGACTACACATACTTACGACCAAACATACTTACGACTACATATACATACAACTACATATACTTACAACTACACATACTCACGACTACATATACATACAACTACATATACTTACGACTACATATACTTACGACTACATATACTTACAACTAGACATACTCACGACTACACATACTTACGACTACATATACATACAACTACACATACTCACTACATATACTTACGACTACACATACTTACGACTACATATACTTACGACTACATATACATACAACTACATATACTTACAACTACACATACTTACGACTACATAAGCGGCACGCAGATCGGTCTCATGGTCCTCATCACCCTCGTGTTTGCCTGCTTCGGCTTTCTCTTCCCGGGCAACCGTGGCGCCCTCATGACCTGCGCGATGGTACGAATGGGGGGAGGGGGAGCGGCGGGGCGAGGGGGGGTCGGAGAGAAGGGGAGTTTCTCGTTGTTGTATTATGAGAGAGTGAGAGAGAGGGTGAAGAGAGAGAGAGGAGGAGGGAGGAGAGAG